ATAATCAACAGAGTGAAAAGGCAACCTACAGAATGGAAGAAAATATTTGCAAACCAAAATCTGTTAAAGAATTCATATTCAAAAATGTAAGAAACTCATACAACTCAATAGTATAAAACAAATAATCTGATTTAAAAATGGGTAGGGGAACTGAATGGACATGTCTCCAAAGACAGGCCAATAGATATATGAAAAGATGCTCAACATCACTAATTATCAGGGAAATACAGATCAAAACCAAAAACACAAATAAAAACAAATACAGATATCACCTCATTCCTGATGAATGGCTTTCACAAGTATTGGCAAAAATGTGGAGAAATTAGGACTTTTGTGCCCTATTGGTGGGAATGTAAAAAGGTGCAGCCACTATGAAAAACAACAAAGTTTCCCCCAAAATTTAAAAATAGAACTATCATATGATCCTGCAATACCCACTTCTGGGTATTTATCTAAAGAATTGAAATCAGAATCTCAAAGAGATATTTACACTCCTGTGTTCATTGCGACATTATTCATAATAGCCAAGTTGTGAAAATAACCCAGATGTCCATTGACAGGTGAATAGAAAGAAAATGTGGTATTTACATACGTCAGAATGTTATTCAGCCTTAAAAGAAGGAAATCCTACCTATATACTACAACGTGGATGAACCTTGAGGAAATTATAGTCAGTGAAATAAGCCAGCCACAAAGACAAAAATGTCATAATTCCACTTACAATAGTCAAACACACAGATGCAGAGAAAATGGCAGTTGCTGGGGGCTGCAGGAAGGAGAAATGGGGAGTTGCTGTTCAATGAGTGTAAAGTTTTAGTTATGCAAGATGATTAAGTTCTAGAGATCAGCTCTACAACACTGTGCCTACACTTAACAATGTGATACTGTACACTTAAAAATTTAAGAAGGTAGATCTCATACTAGATACAAAGTATTCTTACCACAATTAAAAAAAAAAAAAAAAAAAACTCTCTGGGTTCCCACCTTGTGCAAAGAAAAAGCCAGTCTTCACACTGGCCTTCAAGGCCCCGCCTTGCCCCTGTGCCTCATCTCTTGCTGTTCCCTCCCTCCTACACTGAGCCATGTGGCTCCCCTGGCTGTGCCTTGTGGGTAGAGGGTCAGCTTCCACTGCATGGCCTTTGCATTTCTGTTCCTTCTCCCTGGGGCGTCCATCTTTTCTGGCTCGCTCCATGGTTCTAGCCCTCACTTCTTTTAGGTCTCTGCTCTTCTATCTTCTCATCAACCCTTCCTTGATTACTTCCCTAATACTGCGTGGACACTTAACCCACGTGCACACAGACATGCACTCCCTGTACTCCTATCACTCTCCTCTACTTTGTTTTCAGATACATAACTGGTCTCCTTCTGATATAGTCTATAGTTTGTCTATTGATGGGTTTGTATTTGTTTTCTCCCACGAGAACTACACTATAAGCTCCAGACCAGCAGGCGGCATTTGCCTGTTTCATTTATTAGTGCCTCCCCAGCTCTTGAAATAGTACCTGGCACACAGTAGATGCTCACTAAATCTTCAATCAAGGAATCAATTGAAAAATGAATGAAACTGGCATTTTTGTGAGTCTTATTAGCATGAGAAAAATAATCTTATAATTCATCAACTACATGTACTTTAACAAAATAGTTTCTGTACCTCCAAACTGAGCAAGAACCAGACACGAATTACAGGGACTTCACTGCTAACCCACTCTGACATGTTTCTCTGATTTGCATGGGAACAATATATAAATCTCTATTCTTTGGCAGCTGTCCCTCTTCCCCCAAGTCTTGCAAGAGTGCTAAGCTGCTACTGAAACATGAGGAACAAGGAGATCATTTGGATTCTTGTGTGCACAGATGTAGACTGCACCTTTGGGAAGAAAGGCTTCTGGAAGCAGAGACCAACGAGAAAGGAACTGTGTAAACACCACACTATGAATGGAGACTGACAGCTTGGCCATTCTGAGAAAATGATTCAGAAACCACTCAGGACAATAGCTGCTTGGGCTAGTCCTTCCAAGCAATTTCTTCTTTCTTAATGGTGGTAACTCACCATGCAGAAACCTGGCAAATCCATCCTGTGAAGGCTAATATCTCCACTGATGCCATGTGGCTATGACATAGTCCCTGATAGGATGGGACAAGAAGGGTTCTTCACCTCTGGGGCATTCTTTCCAATGCCTAATCCCAACCTGAACATGAGAACACCAGACAAACCCAGACTGGGGGATATTCTGCAGAAAACCTGGGCAGGGCTCTGTCAGGATCAAGAAAAGCAAGGCCAGACTGAGAAACTCACAGACCAGAGCGGGACTAAATGAGTGTGGCGTCCTGGATGGGCTGCTGGAACTGAGAGAGGACATTCATGAGAAAACTGGTCCATGAATTATATGCTTGCTAAACTCAGCAAAGCAAGCAAGCCTCTTGAAAGCTAGGGACGATGACCTGAAAAGCAGAAGCTGCTCATTTTAAAGCCTTACAGTGTGTCTCTGAGAGACCTGTGAGAGTCTGTGTAACATACCTGTCCTCCTTCACTTCCCTGTCGGGCCAATTCCTGGCTTTGTCCCCCGTTTCCAGAGCTGCTTCCTGCCTTACTTCCAGACCACAAACATGCTGTCTGCCGCTCTCAAAATTTAAAATGGTAATTTTTTCAGCCCTCAGATGTGAATGAACACACTGGTTCTCTTGTCACTGTCATGACCAATCCCTTGTGTTGACACTTCCTCATTTACACTGTGACAGCTATAGACAGAGCCTTCATGTACTCTACTACATGTATCTCAGGACAGCACAAGTGGGAAAACAAAACTCAGACACATAAATGAATGTGCCTCCAAACTGCCCCCACTTCTGTCTTTCCTGCTTACGCCACCAGAAGGGACACCGGGATGCTCCTGCCTTGTTCCCTCATACAGGTCTGCAGCATTTGGCGGAATGGTCTCCCTTGGCCATTTTTCCTGGAATTCCCATGGCTCACTGATGCTGTGAAACCAACAGCCCACGTCTGACATCCATCAACACCCCACATCCCCCAGTGAAGTCATCTTCTTCTCAGGGACCCCAAACCTGGGTCCAGAGACTATGGTGGCCTCCATGGGTCCATAAGAGAAGGAATTAGGCAGGCCCTGAGAGGAGTGTGGCAATTCTGGGAAGACAAGAGGGTGGGTGGAGTATGTCAAAGGGAAAGGAGGAGCCAGAAGCAATCAGGAAAAGCAAGGGCTTGACTTGCTCAGTTCACAATCCTTCCGGTAGGTCACAGAATGATGCACTGAGTCATCAAAGTTTAAGGAGCATCTAAAACTCCATCAGATGAAGAGAAGGAGGCTTTCAAGGCTGAAAACCTCCTACATATTTTGCTACATTTTCTTTTTCAGTGAAGTTTAACACATGAGACATTCAGATTTCCTGCTCCCTCTTCCTAATTTCCTCATTTTATTAAAAGGCATCAATACCTGCATCGACTCCCAAGATGCCAACTTAGGAAGATTTGGTATCACCTTTCTCAGGTCATCAGTGAGGACTGTAGTTCTACCCCCAGGATACTTTACACATTCACTGCCTGGACCATAACAGCCTCCAGCGCAGTCCCTTCTGTTGTCAGAAGGGACTTTCTGAAGTCCCAGTAGGACAGGGCCCCTCACAACCTACAGACCGTTTAGGTTCCCCAGTGCTTTAGGTGAAGTCTACACCTTGGTGTGAGCCCAGCAGTCTTCACTACCTGCATCTTGTCCCAGCCACCCCCCACAGAGCTCTCTTTCTGGCTGCAGGGAACCACCCCACCTTCCTGGGGGTACCCAGCGCCCTTCTCCACTCTGCTTCTCTGCCAGGAAGGCTTGCTGACTCTCCCCGGTTCCTCAAGACTCAGCTCAAAGGCTGTCTCCTGTGAGATCTTCCACGGCACACCCAGGGGTGGGGAGTTAGGATCTCCTGTGTATATGATCCTCCTGGGCACTACCATATTTTATTCTAACACTTAGTTATTTTAGAGTAAACTTCTGAAAGGCAGAGACTACATGCTTGATGTCTGGAGCATCACAGCTGCTCAAAAGATGTCGTTGCCTAAATGAGTGTGTGTGCGCACAGAGCCGGAATGACGACAGTTCCTCACTGGGGACACTGGTTCCCATACCACCATAGACTTGAAAAGTTTTCTCCCTACTGGTGAAGCTGGGAAGCTGGTCACCTGAAATGGAAAGGCTGGAGTGTCACTGGGGTGGGAGCTGTCAGGGAATCCTGTGGTAGCATCCTGTGACCTGAGCTATTGTGACATGCTGGCCTCACAGGGGGTGGTGTCCTTGTATTGCTATTTGCTAGAGTATTTGGGGAACGAGCACTAGGACAAGACTCCATGTCAAAGAAGATAATAGGGTGTTGGGTTAAGCGTATTTCCTGCAGAATTTTGGAATTTTAATTTCCTATAGACACATGAGTGCCCAAGAGTAGGGCAGTGGGAGGAGCTTCCCAAACACATCTGACCACAGAGCCCCAGGGCACTCACTGTGGAATCCATTTTGGGAAACACCAGCCTAAATTGGAGGATTTTTACTGAATGGCTGACAAAGGACCCAGAACAAAGTTTTTGTTTACTCACTCATCATGATCACTCTGAAATATATCAATCATCAAAATCAAACATTGTCTTTCTCAGAAAGACCAGAAGAAAAAGGATGTCATAAGGCAATCAAAATTTTTTATTCAGAATAGGCATTAACAAAATGAAGGTCAGTGCCTCATAGATGCGGGCCATAGGGTGCTCAGAAGCAGATTAGAAAATAATTACAAAACTACTTTGCAGATTAAAATAAACTTGAAACCATAATCATTGGCTATAAAATGCAGCCATACAGAATCACACTAAAAATAAAAGGTAAAAATCTTCAGATGGTTCGCTCCCTTGCTTTGCCCAGGTTGCAGGGAGTCAGTCAACAGCCCCTGGAACCCAGTGCAGCTGTGACACCCAAGGCCAGGGCATGACCAGAAGACCTCGCAGCCACACTACTGTGGCCCAGAAAGGGGGGAGGTCGAGCTCTGGAACTGCATAAAGACCACGTGGATCCCCACAGCTTCAGAGCAGCTGGATTAAGTGCTTGTAATTCCACCACCAAGGACTCCCAGTGAAGAAGGATGGTAGCTACTGGGTCTGCATCTGTCTTTTCAACTTGGCAAGTCTCAGAAGACACTCGTCCCTCCACTGCCTCCTGGCAGCTAAGTGCTCTGGATCATTGGGAACTTTCACACACATGGCCTGGGAAGAGGAAATGAAATGAAAAGAAAAGAAAAGGAAATGAAAGGGAAAAAAAAAAAAAAAAGAGCATGAAGAGGAACTCATTTACCAGGAGAGTAATTGTTCCTATTTATGTGAACTGTGAATTTGCTTTCAAAGACAAAAGCTTAGGAAACCCCCAATTAACTAACTTTCCAAATCCCCAGAGGCCTACAGCTCCCCTAAGACAATCAAGATGAGCTACCTGTTCACTAGTCACACTGCTCTAAGGTCTTCTTTGACCATGATAGGACAGTGGACAGGCAAAATTAGGACTGAGAAATCACCAAAATCAAAGGCAAAGACGGGCTACAAACAGAACCTCACCCGTGGCTCGGCCAGCACAGCTCTTTATAAGGAGTCTACATACCTGATTAACTTTTTCAACTGTGGCCCCGGAAAAGTCTGGAATGGGTCCAAAAGTCTTTAGGACATGTTGCATGCCTTCACTGTATCTGTCACAATAGCTTAACATACCTGAAATCACACAAAAACAAGAATCCACAATATCAGCAAGGACACTGCATGACTCCAAAGTAAGAAATCTGTTCAGAGTTTCTCACCCAAGGTCAGATGACTGCATTCTTTCCTTCTTGCAGATGAAGGAAAGGTACAGGGATACCATCCACCTCGGTCAGCCAGCACTGGGGAATGAGCAACCTCACCAACGTCACTACTCAAGCTTTGCATCAGATCCTGAAATCCTAAAAACAATGGGACCCCGGGGCCTCCGTCAGTGCCTCTCATGGACTCTCCCGTGAGCCTGTGTTCCTGTACTCACAGACTGAATACCACAAGAAGTCCTATTTTCACCAAAAATGTCTCCTTCAACAATGTGTCTACAAGGTGTGTCAATGGCTTGCATGCATTTTCTAAGAACCAGAGATGTCAAAGCTCAGTAGAATCTGTCTACCATTCACTCTTACTCTGTAAGTTCTAGTTACCACTTTACTGGGTGTCTACCAAGCAGCAGGTTCCTCAACCCAGGCTGTACTTGGAGAGGCGGGCTCCGGGTGAGCGCCTCAGCTTTGGCTAGTGGATGACATCATCCCCCTGTCACCCATGCCAGGGGACATCTGTCCCTGGCTTACACTGCTCTGCAGACCTTCTGCAGCTGCAGGGCCCTTGGGGGGCCAGTGTCTCGGATCCTGAGATAGGGCCCTAGGATTCTGATGGAGAAACACCTGAAAAGGAGGCTTGTCCTGGAGCGGGGAGGGAGGGAGAAGCCCGGTAGCTCAGAAGCAGCTGTGGGCTGTGAGAAGCCAAAGCTATTTTCTGTTAGAATCTTGAGATGTGAGCTGAAGAAACACCATCAGGCTGCATCACCTCCCAACAGCGGGGCAGGCTTGCCCTGACCCGCTCTGCCCAGCAGACTGCAGAGCTCCTCTTGCACTTGTCCCCTACCCCCAGCCCCAGGAGGCAGCTAAGGCCCGGCCAGGGCAGGCCTGCACTTGGCCATGAGTCAGCTCCGAAGGCAGGCCCAGGTACGTGAAGGAGGTGTCTCCAAGTCCTGGGGCCCACTGGGGATGGGGGCTGAGCCACCCGGTGTTCTGCTTTTGGCCCATTTTCCACATTTTTCAAAGCCAAAAAGACTGAGCAGTCAGTCAGTCAGGCTAAAAAGATAACAAGGGAACAAAGGAAACCGTAGAATTTGCAGAGCTCCCAGAGCTTGGCTCTCACCTCCCCCATGAGAACTGTGTATGATTAACTTAAAATAAAAATGACCATCACTGGATATTCTTTTTAAAAAGGCAAAAACAAAAAAACAAAAAACCTAACAAACAAAAAACAGCTTCTTTGGGTTTTAGTTTTGGTGGACCTACACTGATATGAAAGCCTAAATTCATTCGGTGTCAATTTTATTTGGCTCAAATAATTTTCTTTCCCTTTAAGTATGCTAAAATTATATTCAATTCGCTCTTAGAAGAGAAACAATTTTGAAGGGTAAACATTTCAAACATACCAACGTTTCTGACGTTAGCACCTACAATGAAGAGATGGACACTCTTTAAAATAAGGAGTTCCAAAATAATAATAATAATAATAATAATAATAATAAGCAGCTCTGTTTCATTTAATATAAGCGTAACTTGACAACTCAGAATTTGGGAAGTCTCCCTAACTGTTCCAGCCCTAGCCAGTTAGTCTGAACAGCTTAGCATTTTTGGAACCCAGAAAACAACCTGTACATTTATTTCCTTTTGGAAATTAAATGTTTATTTCAGTCTATCCAGTTGTTTATATACTCAAGCAAAAGGTGATAAAATCTAGACATAAATGCAGTTTATTCCTTTTGGAGGAGCAGAGACACAAGAATCGAGAACGTTGTAAAGATATCACATGAGAAGAAACCAGGGAAGAACTGGCGGCTATGAATCCCACACTCGCACTGAAAACAAGCTCCCTGGAGGCCTTCGTGGGAACCAACTGCACCTGCCCGCACATGCGCAGCAGGAAACCACAGCATTCAATTCTGTACCGCACGTCCCTTCCGGAGGGCTTCACGTGTTCTGAATGAGTGTTCACCTTTCACCATCCCTGGGAGGTCCATTTTAATCTCCCATGGACTTTTGAGAACTTTTTTCCCTACTGCCTTTTATAAAATTTTATCGTTTTTTTTTAAGATTTATTTTTTAAAGATTTTATTTATTTGCGAGAGAGAGAGTGAGAGAGCACGAGAGGGGAGAGGTTAGAGGGAGAAGCAGACTCCCCATGGAGCTGGGAGCCCAATGCGGGCCTCAATCCGGGGACTCCGAGATCATGACCTGTGCCGAAGGCAGACGCTTAACCAACTGAGCCACCCAGGACCTCCAAATTTTATCATTTTAAAGGGCATCTATCTATTCCAGGGCACCTGGGTGGCTCAGTGGGTTAAGTCTGTCTTCTGCTCAGGTCACGATCTCAGGGTCCTGGGACAGAGCCCCACACCGGGCTCTGCTCAGCGGGGAGCCTGCTTCCCCCTCTCTCTCTGCCTGCCTTTCTGCCTACTTGTGATCTCTCTCTGTCAAATAAATAAATACAAATCTTTAATTAAAAAAAAGAGCATCTATGCCTTCAAAATTGAATATGATATGGCAAAAATCCTAAAATACATTTCATAACTTCTCCTGTCTTGTTCAGGAAATATATAATTGTTCAGGAAAAATATAATTATATATTTTCACTCTTACTAATACAAAGACACTTTCTATCACATGCACTCAGGCTCTTGGGATGAAGAGCCTCCTTGTTTGTGGTAAGCAAAGGAACCAACAGAGCAGGTGTGTCCAGACCCTCCCACTCCATTTGTAGGGAAGCCTGACACCCTTAGAAGGGCTCTCCCACTTGCCCAAGTTCATGGTGACTTAGAATCAAGATCTGCACTGTGCCATGCTATTTACAATGTTCCAGGACATTTACTGCTGTCACTGTTACTTGTAAAATTTCCTCTTCCATTAGAGAAGTAGTAAAAGGAGGGTTTTACCTCATCTCCAGCAAGAATTTTGGCTTCCTTATGCTTTGAAAGAATTGAATGGCAATCATTCCACAATACCAATTTCACTGGAAATGTCAAGGAGAAGAAACCACTTCACTTTTTATCCGGCTAGCATGTCCTTCCTTTATATTACTATGAAATTTGATCTTCCCCTATAGTTTTTCTTCTACACTTCCTTGCTCCCTGTCCCCCATTCAACAATATACTTCCCCAAATTCTCTAAAACTTAGCTTTTTAGATGACTCTGAACCCAATTTCTTAAGAGATGTTTATATGAAATAAGAAAAAATGGAGAAAAGAATTGATTCTCAGGACACCTAGGTGGCTCAGTTGGTTAAGTGTCTGCCTTTGACTCAGGTCATGATCCCAGAGTCCTGGGATTGAGTTCCATATCCGGCTCCTTGCTCAGTGGGGAGCTTACTTCTCCCTCTGCCTGCTGCTCCCCCCTGCTTGTGCTCTCTATCAAATAAACCAATAAAATCTTAAAAAAAAAAAAAAAGAATTGATTCTCATGAGATTAGACTTAGCTTATTTTGCTGCTTTCTAATTTGGAATTCTTTAGTTGTGAGCCCCCAAAGGCAAGACAGTGTGCTTTCTTGAACTTTCAGCACAGCCCATGGTGGGCAGATAGGCAGAGAGCCTTCCTCGGTTTGCGTTTACGGAGCAGGCATGCAGCCCCGCTGTGACTGTGGAGGCACACTCTGGGCGTTTGGTTTCTTGGCAAGCCCTAACTGCTGCCCACACCAGAGTTTAGTTTTTTCACAGCGGATAAACCTACACCTACATGAATTCACCTGCTTTTAAGAGACAGAGTTTCGAAGAACTTATTAAGGAAGATCAAAAAGGCCCCAAAGCACAGAGCAACGTTATCTAATTCCCACCTGAGTGAGTGAGACCTCACCTGAGGTCAGGGAGGTGAGGCGGGTGGAGACAGAAACCTACCCGGGGCCCCTCAACTCCTGAAAGTCCCAGGGCTAACAGCTCCACATAAGTGAGCCAAACCCACCATGAAGGCATGCCAATTAGGAAGATTAAAGAAAAAATAAAAAATTAAAAAAAAAAAAGAGAGGGAAAGAGAGAAAGCATCTACATACAGGAGGAAATTTTATGAGGCAGGATGGTAAACATCCGCGTGGACGGGAGATGATTTCCAGGGGCTGCCATTTCTGAGACAGTCATTCCCCAGGCAGAAATAAACCCAGGAAGCACCCAGAATGCGGCCAGGAGTAACAGGGGGCAGTTCTCTTTGCTGAACTAATGGTCTAAAAGCTTAGCAAAGAAACAAACCAAACTGTTAAAGTCTGGAGATTTCACCATTCCATTGTAAAAATGTCTTACTGCATATTCATTCTGTATTTCTTTTTGGGAGAGTTAAAAGAAAAAAAACTGCAAGAGTAGTGAATTAAAAAACGAGACCAAACTCTACATGCATAGAACAAGGGACTTCACCTGTGTCAGCCATCTGTCCAAGCATTTCCACCTGGCTTCATTCTCACACCGCCCTCGTGAGGTGGGCACTGTTGCCATCCCCATTTTCGAGGTGGGGGAACTCTCTTGCACAAAGCTAGTTAGCTTGGAAGGCAGGGGTCACCCAGGCTGACCGGCTCCACTGACCAGCTTCCCCATTCTGAGAGCCTGTCCTTCAAGGGGGTTGCCTTTAGAAAGCAGCCAAAAGGCAAAGTAGGCGTGCTGGCCTCCAGCTTTTCGGGTGTCATCCTATCAAATTAAAAACACATCCTAAAATATTTTTACCACTTCTAGATAAACTGTAGCTTTAAGACTAATAACTAGCCTGAACCTGAGATGCTGGCTTTATGAAAACAACATCAGAAAAAAAGAACCCCCCCCACACCCTGCCCAATCTTGATATATTTTGGATGACACTGTGAAGAGTAATAAACATTTCCATTGGTTCCAAGCCAGATCTTATAACAGTCTAACTCTGGTCTTTGGAATGCTCTGAAGTTGAAAACTACATCCGTCCCCCATTATCATATCAAGCCAATTAGGTTTTCTTATCATATCTGCTTTGTCTGAAAAATTGTTACAGGCCTCCTTCCTGTCTGCCACACTATTTGGTTCTTGAGTTTCTGGTTTCATTGGCTTCTGCTTCTATTTGTTTCAGAGTCAAAGCTGCTCTCAGTTGTCTCCCTACTGATGTCTCATGATATCTGACCTTTCTTATTTTTCTGAAGAAAAAAAAACAAAAACTTTAAAAAGAGAAAAACATGGTGGTTACCAAAGAGTGTCTATATATACAGAAAATGTTTAAATATGTTCACCACTTTTAAGGTTCTGGCTGAAAAAGCATTTGAAATTCTCCAAGACTTTATTTTCATGATACTTCAAAACTCTTGTTTCACTTTTATGAGGGCCTCTTTCTTTACATTATCTTCTCGTGTTCAACTGTCATCCCACTACAAAAGCAATATGTTCATGCTAGGAGACAGTCCCATGGTCCTCCAGTGCCTCTCAGCCATGTTCAGTTTTAAGGAAGAGTCAAGTCAGTTACTGAAGCACATTTGCATGATACACAAGACCAGTCCACTCAAGCACCATATGTGTCCTTGCAAGACTACGACTGGCAAAACTGCCTTGACTTATTCACTGGAAGTTATACTTCACTAACTCTGGTGGCAAAAATTGAACTAATACCAAGAGATCATGGAATTATAAAATCTAAGTCTAACAGACTCCCAGAGGTCACTTATCCCAACTTCCCACTTCATTATGGGTGTCTCTGCCTGATATTGAAACATCCTGACAGGTGGGCAACCAGCCCCTGCCTGGCCCATTCACCCACTAGTAGTATAGCCCTCTCCCTCAATGTCAGCTTCAGTTATTAGAAACTTCCTGCCATGTACTGAGCCTAAACCTGTCTGCCTGCCATGGCCACTCTTTCAATCTGGTTCCGCCCTCACGTAAGACACAGACAGAGAGAGGCACGCACGTGCACACACACACGTGCATGCACTGTTCTCTGGTCACCTTCTCCTGGATAAGCTCCAGTTTCTCAACATTTTTGTTAAATGTGGACCACGAAGTTGAATACAATATTCCTTTTCTCTTTCTACATATGTTTTACATGTTAATAATATAATTATTAAAATAATATGGCAATAGTTGTAGAAAATTATGATAACACAGAAAAGCAAAAAGGTATTAAAAGTTACTTATAATTTCAACATCAAGCAATAGCAAGTGGTAATGACATTTAGGTGATAGTTTCCTAGATTTTCATTCATAGCTTTTAAATTTTATTTAAATTTTAATTTAATTTTATTTTTTCAGTGTTCCAAGATAAAATTTATTTTGTTTCAGTTTGAGTCCTTGTTTTTCAAACACTTAAAATGTGGCCGACCATTTCATTCTTGAAGGCTTTCTCCCCTTTCTCAACGTAGCTTTCTGTTAGAGTCACTAGACCGTGGGCCTGTACCTACCTCCCTGGGCCCTTTGAAGTCAGCTTCTGGGGAAAAGGATGGGCCTGCCCTGAATGGCTGCCCGTGATCTAAAACAGGCAAGTCACACAGAGAAGCTGCTCATATTTAGGCAGAAGATATGTACAGCAGAGGTGGTCACTTCCCTTATCTGTTCGTCTTACCTCTGTAAACAACTGCATCACCTTTCTCAGGAAAACCCAACTTTATCTTCTGCCGGGCTGGACGCCATGGGGCAAAGTCTCCACGACAACACCCTCACCTGTCTGTCTTTTCATTCCCACCTGAGTGCTCTCTGCCTGCAGAGCCCTGAGGTTCCTGGATTCCATGTGCACTGACATCTCAGGACGCGGCCCCTATCTATGAGTTCCTAGGGCTGGTACTCTCCTTCGTATGATAGTTTCTATTAGTTGTTTTTTTAAAAAAAAAAAAAAAAAAGGCAAAACTATACTGTTGACAAAACCCATGAGACCACTGAACAGCACAGAATTCGCATCTTCACTCTGATGGAAGCAGAACATACCTTCTGCGTTCAGATGCATAGTTTCTAGGGGTCCGATGAATGCATACCGCATGCCAAGGCCATCTGACATGACAAGGTCAAGGTCACTCGGAGAAACAATTCCTTCCTGAATGGGGAAAATGGGGCAGCACACAGATGAGTCCTCTGGAAAGACAATTTTCTTGCCTTCACTTTTCAAACTAACTTTAGACTACAATCCCAAAATACTCTCCAAAGTGCTCTAATAGTATTTTCAGCAGACTTAGCATGACAAAACTGTAATATATAAACAGATCCTGAAAAGAGAATATTTTGTGAAATGGTCAAACAGCAACTCACTTTTTCCATGGCTGTAATCAACCTGCCTGTCTTCCCTTCTCTACCTTCTAAGCTGTGTCATCACTCACAGCTTTGGAGAAGGGGGAGAGGATGAAGGGAAGGGGGAGAAGTCAGAGCAGGGTATTGGTAGATATAGCCAAGAAGGACTTTCTACATATTTGCCTGAGATCTGGACGCTAAGATCAGACCCATCAAAAGAACTAAAGAGTCATTCTCCAGGCTTTGCCTGCCTTCAAGCCCAGCCTTGTTCAGCTTTTAATGAGTTTATAAAAATGACATTCTTTGATGAAATGCAGCTTAGAACTGTGTGTTGTTGGCAAGGTGGGGCCGTGGAACCTTCCACAAACGTGAATGACAAAGCAAGAGGCAAGTTGTTGTATGTTCAAGTTAGAGGTCAAATCGGCCCTCTGTGTTACTTGGCCTGTTTTTAAGACGGCCTTGACCTCGCACCACTTTGAAAGGAGCAGGGATGCATCAGCACAAATTTGTGTGATCTGGTGCTCCACTGCCAGTTCCTCTTGGTCTGAGGCGATTTTCACCTTGGGCATTTCAGCTGTCAGAAGGCAGATGGGGAAGCCTTCAGATTTTCCACCACATCTGCACTGGTCACACCACTAGAATGACTGCTAAGTCTCCAGTTCATATTTTCTGAGTGGTTTCTTCCACAAACAGCATGGTGAGGAGAGAGATGCTTCTGCCTGACAGCTAGGCCAAGTCTGCCTTCTGAAAAGGCCACCAAGTGTGGCTGTGCTGGCTGATACCTCCTCTGTTCGCAGCCTCGGCGGCCCCCAATTACTGGAGTCCTGGGGTAGAGGATGAAATGCTCTGCTGTGGAAATCTCAGGTCTGCCCTCCCCACAGGAGCGCATCTACCCAGCACCCATGAACAGGCTCAGACAAAGGACCCACCTCACTCTGTCACATTTGTTCTGGGTTACAGAGCCAATCCTGTTCCTTTCCTTGGAAGGGCTGTCTGTTATCCTATTTGAGAATATGTCCATGTGGTGGAGGAAAGCTTTCAGCAGAGGGCTTCACCAGGCCCCATGGCCAACAGGGAGAGCCAAGTCTGCCCTCCAGATGGCCCAGGGGAGGTCTGGGCTAAGGCCTCCATGCTCAGGAAATGGAGGCTAGAGCTCCCCCTGCTGTTCCTCCTCCTCTTCTGGGGTCTCTGTGATATCTCTGCTTTCCAGATTTCAAAGTCATCCACGAGGTTGAGAGAGGAAGGCAATTTGTACCCTCTAACTCGATCACCTACATCAGCTACTGAGGGAAAAACACAAGTGCTCAGGTCCAGGGGGTGTTTGGGCGACCAATGGTGATGTTGGAGTGGGGAACAGAAAGGGGATGGAGCCAAAAACCCAAGAAGACAGAGCCACCCACAAAGGGCATGTGACTGAGAAATTTCGAGAGAACTACCTTCCATCTGGGCACGTGCACCTGAATGTTTATAGCAGCAATGTCCACAATAGCCAAACTATGGAAAGAACTTAGATGTCCATCAACAGATGAATGGATAAAGAAGATGTGGTATATATATATATACAATGGAATACTATGCAGCCATCAAAAGAAATGAAATCTTGCCATTTGCGACAACGTGGATGGAACTAGAGGGTATTATGCTGAGCGAAAAAGGTCAATCGGAGAAAGACAACTATCATATGATCTCCCTGGTATGAGGAAGTGGAGATGCAACCTGAGGGGCTTGGGGGATAGGAAAAGAATAAATGAAACAAGATGGGATCGGGAGGGAGACAAACCATAAGTGACTCTTAATTTCACAAAACAAACTAAGGGTTGCTGTGGGGAGGGGGGTTGAGAGAGGGTGGTGGGGTTATGGACATAGGCAGGGTATGTGCTATGGTGAGTACTGTGAAGTATATAAACCTGGCGATTCACAGACCTGTACCCCTGGGGATAAAAATACATTATATGTTTATAAAAAATTTTAAAAATTTAATTAAAAAATTAAAAAAAATAAACTCGAAAAAAAAAGAACTACCTTCAATCTATCTTTGTGTGTATGAGATAAACAAAGACGAGTACAAACTATACATAAGTGGCTTAAGGATAATAACAAAGCCTACCCCACCCCCAACCCACCAACACCACCATGCCTGTCTTCCCAACTGTATCCTCCTTCCTCCTTCACAGAGACAAACATCCAGATTTTTGTAAGAACGATTTTTCTACTTTTAAGATTTGCCATCTATGATTACATTCCTAAACCACAGTTCACTTTATGCCTATTTTTATCTTCTTCAAAACGGACTCACACATTCTTTTGTGACTTGCTTCTTTCACTCAACTTTATGCATTTAAGATTCACATGCATTATGCGCAGTTGTAGTCTGTCTGCTCTTGTTGAGGTATAAAATCATAGTTTACTTATCCATCCTACGGTTCATGAATATTTGGGAACGTTCTTGTTCCAGGCTCCCGGGGCACACATGCAAGAGGAGAAGTGCTGTCCTAGGGCACAACAGCTTCAATGTTACAGGTTAATGCTAAGTGCTTTCCAGAGTGGTTGCACCCACACACACTGCCTCCAGCTGCATACATGAGCTCCCATAGCTCCCCAGCCTCTCCAACGCTTGATGGTATCCCACTCACAAAGTGTGGTTAGTCTGCTAGGCTCTCATGACGTCTCACTGGGTTTCCTACTTCTCTTAAATCATCCTACTGTAAGTTCATTTGCTCTCAAGGAAAGCAAATTAATTTATTCTGTTTACTCAAATGCTGACAGGTTTTACCCCCTTCACTTCTGATAGCAAAGCTTTTAAGCGGCAAGGGGGCAGCAACGAGGAGAAAATGGTATATACAAAGTCTATGGTAGTGTCCAAAGCTATCAAGAGAGTAATTGTCAAAGGCATTCCTGTCTTCCTCTCCCTCCTCACCAAGCTCTCAGGGCCAGAAGGATGGCTTCTGGTCATCTCTCCAGGCTGCCTAAAGGCATTTGCCATGGCATTCCTGAACCCCGTGAGCTCTGGAATGCCATGAAAGGCAGCCAGGCAGGGGCTCTGCAGACCTGCTCTCACCCTGGCCCTCCCTAAGGTTCCAGGTCAACACCCCAAACAGCCTGAAGTTTCCATACGGTACTCAAACCTGTAAAGTATGCAAATATAGAAGGCATCCTACACGTGCAATGCTATTTGCCTCGGCTCTCTTCTTCTCTAATTGTGTTCAGTATGTTTAGAGCTGACTTCCGCAGGACTTCAAAATACCCCAGAAGTGAGCCACCCAAGAGCAGTAACTTTTGATCTGTAAGTATGAAAGCTAACAGTGACCCTGACTAAATAAAGCCTTAGAAGGATCCTCTACCTCTGTCACCATGTGGGGGAGGACCACACTTTCCTCCAAGTCCCAAATATTCTCCAAAGTGAACATCTCTGTTTTATCAGTTACTATTCAGTAGCTGAACAAGTGAGAAGAGGGAAAAGTTTTAGTATCTTTTCTTCCTAATTCCTTCTTTCTACCCCATTTGGATTTTCTGAAGTAGATTCTCTAGGCTTGAGGTTTTGCCCAGAAGTACATGCAGAGAAAAGAAATGGTCCTAAGTAGTAATGAAGCTAGGATGCTCGCTGGTCTGGGTTTTGAGTTTACCCCTGCAGCACTCAGTGCTGAGGCAAAGGTTCGTGATTAAGATATTCTGCAGCTCAGACAGCTTCATTTTGCTGTTAAGCTCCACTCCACCTGATCTTGTGACATCTGTGGCCCTCATGCTAATATTATCAGCAATAATCACAATTGATGATCACAGAGGCATAAGAGGTAAAAGCAGGCACTTGAGTTGAACACACTGGTCATCGATTCCCTGGAAACAGATCCTACACCGTATGCTTGTTTGAAGACTGAAACTCTACCCACTCCGGTGTGTCTCTGGTTCAGTTAACATTTGCAGTACAGCTATTAGTACTTCCTCCATTTTGTGGCCTAATTCTCAAGTCACACGTACAAAGAAAAGCCCCAAGTGGCTAAAAAGATTCCAAAAACTCATAGAGCGCAACAAACACTAGATCACCATTAGTTTAAACCCTGGTTTGCATCATGTCCTCAAAAATCACTCAGCAAGGAGAGGCCAGCCCGAGTGGTAAGGAATCCCCTTTATTGAAACCTTCTTTTCCCTAGTCCCCTTACCTAAAACCTAAGACTTCCTAGGAGCAACCAGCACACACACTGGGTACCTTGCCTGCTGGGAATGCATGCCCATCCTGGGGTGGGAGGGCAGGACTGCCATCTATGAGTAAGGGCCAAATGCAAGACAGTTCATAAAGTACTCAAACTCCTGTGATAGAAGCTTGAAGTATAATTAAAGGTTGGGGATGCATCAGGAGGGGTCCTCCCAGATAGAGATGGCTAGTAGGTTATATATACATAAAGAGATTTACTTCAAGAGATTGGCCTATGTGATGGAGTGCATTAACAAGTCTGAAATGATGATGGTGGGAACCTCCATTCTGCCCTTAAGGCCTTTCAATTGATTGGATGAAGCCTGCCCAGGGTATTAAGAATAATCTCCTGTACTTAAAGTCAACTGAGTAGATGTTAACTAATCACATTTATCAAATGTCTTTAAAGCCACATCTAGGCTGTTTGACTGAATATCTGGGCACTCTGTCCCAGCCAACAAGACCCTCACAGTGGACAAAAGTTCAGAGCACTGTCCTCCTTTTCAGGTATCTTGGATCTAGCCCTTTATTTGTGGGAGAGAAGGCAAGAAGAAACATCAAATGGCCAACAACAGGCAAAAAAGGTTGATCTGGTGTTTAGGACACGGAAGAAGGGGTGG